CAACAGCCACCCCCGCATCGGAGGAGGAAGACTTGCCGTTCAGATGATAGCTGATCTGCGAAGGATCGGACAGGAAATGTGGCGCTGCCTTCTCTACGCGTCGGAACCTGATGAACCATCTGCGCAGGACGCACTCAATCAGAAACCTCTGCTGACTCATGACTCCCACGAACAGATGTATCAACTGTGGCCAAACGCTTGCTTGCGTTGCGAATGCTGCTCTAAACCTGCAGGGTTCACTGCGACAGAGGCACTGCGGGGCGGCAGGGTCATACTCGTTACAACCGTTGGTCCAACCCTCCTCTCCCTCCTGCGCCTGTTTCACATTTGAGGGCTCTTACGGAGTTTGGCTTGCGCCTGTGCGCCCACCTACCGACCACTCTCCGACCCTGCGACCGTGCCAGGCGAGGGGGCGGCGCCGGCGGCGATGCCAGAGGACGAGGACGGCCTCCAGCTCCCACCTCGGTTCAGGGGCCGCGCGGCAGAAGCGCGTCTCAAGAGAGGCGAGCCCGAGCAGACCGACGGCCGGAAAGACCAGAAACACGCTCGCGTAGGCGCGAGGCAGAACGACAACAACGGGGAGCTGCTCACGGCGACCGGCCGCCCCGCTCTCGTGAACGCGCGGGAGACCGCAGACTTGTCAGCGAACGCCTGCAATCGATTCGAGGTCGCCGTGGATCGCGGACCGCCCGCAGCATGCATCAAAGCGGGACAGGTCTACGACGCGCAGAGCAAAGACCTGAAAGCCGAGACCGACAAGGGCAAACCCGTGAACTGGCGCGAGCGTGGACCCCCGCGCCTCCACGCGGCGACGGCGGCGATCTTGCGCGGGGCGCAGCGCGTCCCGGCAGCGGGGCCCAACCAGATTGACGGGGACACCATGGCCAAGATTTTCCGCATGCCCAGTCAGAACGACCTCCTGAAGTCCAGCGCCCCCGAGCTGACGCGGGCGATCCTGCACTTCAGGATCAAGGTGCACAAGAAGCCAGAGCAGAAAGGCGTGCCCCAGAAGGGCGCCATCCTGCTGAACATCGACATCAGCACGAACGCTGGCTCGATCCTGATGCCGCCGATTCAGGAGCTGATCGCCGCCGAGGGCGGGACATGGCTCGCGGGCGCAGCCCCGCGCGGGCTGCTGGAGGGCAAGATCTCACAGCTGCTGGCCTTCAGGGGCGCGCGAGTGCTGATGCGGTGAGCGGCCAGTCGGCCGCAGTAGCTCCCAGAGCCCTCCCGAAGTTCCTACCGATTCCGAAGGCCTTCTCCAGCAGCGAGCGCTTCCGAGAGCTTCGAAGACGCGGCGTGATTTCGGTTGTTTACATGGGAGGCGTAGGGCCAACTAGCGAGTGCGGAGTTATCAGATAACCCAGTCGTTGTTGCACCTGGTCGAGGTCGTGGGCGGGGGAGGGGTGGCCGTGGGAAGGGATCTCCTCGTGCCTAGGAGCGGGGCCCGAGCAGGCTGGTTGCGTGCCAGCACAGGGTCCCCGCCAGGGCCTGTGCGGTCCTGTGCGGATGGCAGCAGGCCGTGCGAAGTCTTGCAGTCTGTGGGTGACGTAGTTGCCTTCTCAGAGTCCTGTGCTCAGTCAGCACCAGCATGCGGGCAGCAGTCAGGGAGTGCAGAACTTTTTGAAGACGAGCTATTTCGATTCCATGAGCTTCCGATCCGACCCTCCTCCTTCTTCCTTTTCCTCCTCCTCCTCCTCCCCCTCCTCCTTTTCTTCCTCCTCCCCTCCTCATCCTCATCCTTCTCATCCTTCTCAGTCTCCTCATCCTCCTCATCCACCTCCTCTTCCTCCTCCTCCTCTTCCTTGGGCTTGGGCATCGAAGAACCAAACTCAGAAGGGGGAGAAAGAGGCAGATATAATGAATCGTCGGTCCCCTGGAGTAAAATATGGGAGGTGGGGGAAGACGACAGTCCTCCTGCTCAGAAGGCGGCTGGTTTGTGTCTTCGGGGGAGGTTTTGAAAATTGTTCAGAAGGTTTTTTGAGAAGGCCCGCCCATTTTCACTTCCGCATCGGGCTCGCCGCCTGGATGGCCAAGGGCTTCGACATCGAAGAATTGAAAACTGCACGACATCAAACTTTCGGAGCTTCGCGTGAATCTCGTGGATTAGCGTTGCACCGCCCTGCGCAGCCCGGGCGCCGCCTCTGGCGCCGCCTCTGGCGCCGCCCTTGGCTGTGATACTCACTAGGCAATTGGGGAGGTCATCCGAAGAGGAAAGGACGCCAAGACGCATCCAGCACGTAGAAGTGGAGGATGGCCGCTCAGCGTTACGAGAAGAGTCGGGAGCTTGTACAGCGCCGATGCAAAACATCCGCGCGGAGTCCGATAGTTAGTGTTGATGCCGTTGTCTGGGCATCGCTCGGACATGTGCATGTCTTCTTCGGCGAGGACCATCGAGGGGCATCTTAGATCATCTTGCGAAAAGATAAACGCACGAAGCTGAAAAAAAAACACGGGGAATGGACGTCCGAGCGATGACAAGTTGTTGTTTTCCTCTGGACACCCTCGGGCCGCCGGAGGTCTCCAGGGATATCCGACAACCGCCAGAGGCCTCGGGAGAGCTCGGGAGCAGTGGCACCGTATTGTGGGGCACTCTGGAGGTCAGCCGAAAGCTGCCACCTTGGGGTTTCTCTCGGGCAATGCAGCACTGCCCGCGTCGGGGAGGAGGAGGAGCAGGAGGAGACATATGAAAAGGAGGCGGGTAAGGAGGAGGAGGAAAAATTGGCCAACGTGCCCGCCAGTGGAGTGTCCGTCAGGCGGGCGCTGACGGGAGACCGACACCTGAGTCAAGGAGAACGGCATCGGAGGGGATCGCATCCGTGGCCTCGGGCGTGCGCCTGGAACGACAGGAGGGGAAGGAGGAGGGGAGGAGGAGGGAGGAGGAGGAGGAGGAGGAGCAGGAGGAGGAGGAGGATGGAGGAGGAGGAGGAGGAGGAGGAGGAGGGGGAGGAGGAGGGAGGGGCCTCCGGGGGGGCAATGTTGACTCCACCCGTGCCCCCGGGAGCGAAGCCGTCGGTCGGACCAGAAGGCGCATCACCGGAGCGTGGCGAAAAAAACGGGTTTGCGCCGACATTCGCGCGGCAAGATCGCGAGTAAGCGCCCTCGTCTCCAATGCAGCATGCCGCGCCAGCGGCCCGCGTAAGCCGCCGCGCGACGTCGCTACGGGATCTCGCGCAGGAGCTGGTTTTCGTCGTCGCTCGTCTGCCAACGTGCTGCCTGCTCCTCCCGAGCAGCTCCCGGGGGTCGCCCACGGAGTGGCGAGGCCTGGCGACTCGGTGTGCGCCTCCGCCGCCGTGCGCGGGCCGGCCCGGCTGGGCAGTCGGGCCACCCCTCGAGGAGGGGGCTCCCGGTGCCGTCTTCCGTGATTCGGGGGCGGAAAAGAGGGGGGTGATGACTAGGGGCTAGGGGTGGTGGATCTCATGGCGTGGGCCATGATATTTCCCCTGATTTCATGGCGCCTCTTCTTATTTCATTACGTCCCTGGCCCCCCCGCTGGGCCGCGCACATGCCGCCGGTCATGATGTGCGCCCCCCCCTCTTGGACACCCCCCTCTTGGCCGCTCCCGATCGAGGAGGGGGCTCCCGGTGCCGTCTTCCGTGATGGGGCCGAGGTTCCACAGGCCGAGCATTTTGGGGGGGCTGAGGGCAGAGGGCGAAATCTGAGATGCCGCTTCGATCGGTTTTCGAGGCTTGCATCTGCAGAAGTCAGGAGGGAAAAGAACACACAGACAAATAGCTGTCGATTCTCCAGAGAAAATATGCCAAAATATGGGAAGTGGTGGGGAAGACGAAAATCAACAAAAAAATGAAAAGAATGCGGAATTCTGTGCGTGATGGTATTTATGTGTGTGCCCCTGGGCTCCTTCAATAAAGCGAATCGCAAGACGGAGGGATTCTATCGAGGTGCAGAGGCCCATGTGGATGGCGCCCTGAGCCCTCCGCCCCAGGTAGTGCCCACGCAGATGCCTTCTCGGCTCGTGCCGGGCAGCGCGCCGGAGAAGCCGCGGGGGGAGTCGAGGCCGGACCGCGCAGCCAGCTCGTCACGCGCCGAACGCGCTCCACTACTCGCAGAGTGCCTACTCGCAAATGTTCGAAGCAGATGTGCTCGCCTCGATATAACATATCGTAGATCGGAGGTGGATAGACCTCCTACCCTGACACGTCGATTGAGGAATTGGCCGTGTTCGGTTCGCGAGAGGGCGTCGCGGACGTCAGTTTTGCGGGTCCAGGTCCGTCGGTTTCGGTCCCAGGCCGTTTTCACTAAGGGGAGGTTTACTAAAGGGAGGTTTGTCCACCGCCGAGTAGATCCCCCGCGGCGGATCGAGGTCATCTGCGAGCAGTTTTGCTCTGCGAGCAGGGGAACGCGCTTGTCTAGCAACGCCCCGCCGAGTTTCATGGATGGCTCCTGGAGGGTTCCTCGGACATCCTCCGATCCGTTTCTGCTGCAGCCCTTCGAACAATTAGGCGATCGACTGCGGAATTGCATTGCCCAAGCATTGATTTGTTCGTCGAACCCATTTGAATGATATGTATATATGAATGTGCTGTTCGTACGCCTACGGACATGCTGCATTTGTTCCGTAGAATCGACGCGGGAACCAAGTTTGGGGCACATTATTTCTGTAGTCGGTCCACTACTCGAAGTCTGCGGCGTCGACCCATTCCTCTGGGCCAGCTCGTCGGCCCAGAAAACCTGTGATGGCTCTGGGGTGCCCGATCGATTGGAGAAGGTATTATGGTCCGGTCCTTGCTCGTCGCGTTCGGTGTTCATGGAAAAAAGGAGGAAACATACATAATCAGAATCATAATCATAATGATGATAATAATAATCATTATTATTAGTATTATTAATATTAATTAATAAATAAATAAATACATAGATACATAAATACATAAAAACGTCAAATGGTCACCGTCGCGGAGGACGGCCGGGTTTTGCTCGAGCCCACGGCCGGGGCGAGGCCCCCCCGCCGCGGCGGGATGGCCGTCGACGTCTGCGCCATGCAGGAGCTGCTGCGCTGGGAGGAGGCGCCCCCGGAGCTGCACCTGCGGGAGCTGCAGCAGTTCGACGAGTTCAACTACTATCCGGTGGAGCTGCCGCGCAATGCCGCAAGTACTTGGGGAATCGCGCCTCCTCCTCCTCCTCCTCCTTCCTCCTCCTCCCTCCTCCTCCTCCTCCTCCTTTCCTCTCCTCCTCCTCCCCCTCCCCCTCCTCCTCCTCCTCCTCCTCCTCCTCCTCCTCCTCCTCCTCCTCCGCCCGGGGGGGGGGCGGGCGCCAGGATGGGGGGGTCCGCTGAGCGTCCCTCCCCAGAGTTCGCATCTGGGCACCAAGCCGCATGGACTTGGTCATAAGAACGAGCGCGTCTTGGGCTCGATGCGCTGGGGGGCCCCAGCTGCTGCTCCGCAGGGAGCGGGAGGGCCCGACACGCACCTACCGCTGCAAGCGCGGTGGCGGACATGTCCGAGTATTTCGACCCTCCTCGAAGAGAAAAACAGCAGAAGCATAAACCTTCGGAGCTCCGCGCGGCTTTCTCGGATCGGCGCCGGGAGCCCCCACCGGCGCCTCCAGCGCCGCCCCTAGCGAGAGCTCCGCGCGCCAGGGAGAGGCGTCCAGCGCAGGCCCGCGGAAACCCGGGCGGCCATCCGAAGGAGCCCGCTTCCGGCGTGTGGCTTTCTTCTGCTTCCGGCGCCTGCCGTCGGCGTGCTGGGAGCCCTCGCGGTGCTGATGGGCTGGTCTGGGGACGCGAAGCAGATCGTGACGGAGATGACGGGGCAGAAGCACACGGAGGAGGAGCGGCTCCCCGACCACTTCCGCGGCTTCCTGGCGCGCCTCGCGTCGCGGGACCCCGCGCAGCTGCCGGAGCGCGACCGGGACCGCTTCCGCGAGCTGCTCACGTCGCCCGTGGAGTGGGAGAAGTTCGACCCAGAGGCCGGCGTCTACCGAGATCGGCCACGCACAACAGTGTCCCGACCTTCCAGAGAGCTATTTTTTAGCACGGGAGGCCTAAAAACCTAAAAAATAAAACGAAGCAGTTTAAAACCAAGACATAGAATAGCTCTGGGATAGGTTTTTAAGTCGCGTGCTATTTGTTAGCCCTCCTGGAAGGTCAGGGTGGCCCCTCGCCGGAGCGACCTTCGGGTGCGGGCCCAGCGGGGTCCCCCGACGGCCGCGCGTGAGGAGTGCGGCAACGGCGGCCTGCGTGCTTGGATTTGGCCACTTGAAGCCGCACACCGAAGGCCATTCCTCCCTGAGGTCCGCAGTCGCATTAAAATCAGGGGTGGACAGGCCTCCTACCCTGACATGTCGATTAGCGAATTGGCCGTTTTCGGTTCGCGAGGGGGCATCGCGGCCGTCATTTTTGCGGGTCCAGGTCCGTCGGTTTCGGTCCCAGGCCGTTTTCACTAAGGGGAGGTTTACACAGCCGATAAAAGGAAACATCGCCGACAATCACGACCAGAGCCCCAGACCCCAGCTTCCAACGCCAGCTTCCGAGCCGGGTCGATCTGTGAGGGCCCCAGGACCCGAGGCCGGGCGAAGGCGCCATGGTCGAAGAGTTGCAACGCCGGGACCTCGGGGCTTGCCGAGGGTCACCTGCTTACGTGTAGCCGACGAGAGCGGACGCCCATGAACGCGTACGACGTGCTGAAGTGCAGCCAGGCGTGCTTCCACCTCTTCGAGTGGCTCTGCAGCCGCCTGCCAGAGCCCGCGGCCCGCTGGCCAGCGTCAGCGTCGTCGTCGTCGGCTCCTGGAGCTGCCAGGCAGGCCCAGAGACGCGGCCCAGAGCCCCAGGCACAGGTCGGACACTGCGGGTTTTTCGCAGCACGAGGGGGGGCGGTCTGAGTTGTTGGGGGGGTCTGTGAGCTGTCTTGGAGGCTTCGGGAGGGTCTGGGCCAAAGGCCGCCCTTTCATGGCCGGTCTTGGGGAGTCTAGTAAGATTGCTCGTCTGGGAACGTTGCAACCCCCTTCCCTTGTATTGCGGAATGTGGAGTACGGACCAGGGGGCATGCAGATTTGTTGCCCTGGAAGGGGCCGAGACCTCTGGTGCCGCGCAGCGGAAGAGGCACCTCGGCGAGTTCGTTCGGGGAGGTGCCGCGCCCCTCCACGGGAGAGAGAAGCCTCTCCTCTCCCCCCCCGACGTCGGAGCCCGAGCCTCCACCTCGCCCTGCTTCAGGGGAGGGCCAGCGGCACCCTGCCTCCCCCTACTGTTGCTGCTGCTCCTGCTCCTTCCTCCTCCTCCTCCCTCCTCCACCTCCTCCTCCTCCTCCTCTTCCTCCTCCTCCTCCTCCTCCTCCTCCTCCTCCATCTCCTCCTCCTCCTCCTCCCCCTGCTTCCGGGGGAGGGGCCAGCGGGCCGCGGGAACCAGCCGGAGGCGGCGACAGGGGCGGACGGCCCAGGGGCGGGGGGCGGCTTTCGCCCGGTCCTCCCAAGTCTTGGCATCGCTCGGGCGTGTGTGCATCGTTTCTCGGCGAGGGCCATCGAGGAGCAGCTTGGATTGCATCGCGACGAGATCACGCGCGAGGTCGAGAGGTGCACCGGGGGGGTGGGCGCCCGAGCGATGGCGAGAGATGGGGACTGCACCGCATCGCCGATGCCCCGGCGTCGCGGCTCGACGTGGGGCTCGATGCTCTGCACGCCGACGTCGCCGATGCATCGCCTCCGTCGCCGATGCATCGGTGGTGCGTCGACGATGCGGCGCGATCCTCCGACCCCATTAGCTCTGACCCCATCGGGGAGGCCTCTAACTCGGATGGGGGGTCCGTAGCCATTTTGGCTCAAGGCGTTCTGGCCCAGTTGTTTTGGGTTTGCTGCAGCTGTCTTCAGAGCGGCGCCGCTGCAGCGAGCCAACTTGGCTTGTTCAGTTCAATCACCAGGCTCATGCGGGAGGAGTCTCAAGACGAGGGATCCGTCACAGCGATGGCGCCAATGCCGCCGACGCCCGCGGTGTTCCGTGGGCCGCGGCGGCCGACATGGTCATGCGGCAGGTGCGCATCCCCCTCGAATTGGGCGTCGCGCATCCGCCGCGAGTGCGGGACCGAGGCGCCGCTTCGGATCAGGAAGGCGGCATGGGAGGCTCACAACCTGGTCGCAGGGCGTGGTGCTGCGCCAGAAGGAGGTCAGCCGCCCAAGGCCAACAAGGACGACACGGGAGCTCGGCTGGCGGAAATGGAGAAGTTCACGCGGTTGTATTTTGGCAAGGCGGGAGGTGACTCTGCGCCGCAGTCCACCAGTGCAGCCGCCAAGACTCCGCCGTGGGTTGCTTCATCTTCTGCCAAAGATGCTGTTCGAGGTGCCAACATGGAGCCGATCGGGGAGCACGACGATGACAAACTCAAGCGCGAGAAGGTGGCGTCCCAGCCCCTGCAGTACGAGAATGCGCTCAAGACCTCTTCCAGGAGGCGATGACGATCCGATTCGTGCGGCCACCCTTCAGGAGCACTCGGGACCAGCAGCGTGCTCTCCGCACGCCAGCGATTGCGCATCGGAGGACGGCTCAGGACCTCCACAGGGCGCGGCTCGCCCGCGACAAGTCGGAGAATGATATTACCGAAAAGCCGAAGCAGGTCCCCAAGTTGCAGGAGGCGCTCGCGGAGCGCAGGGCGCAGTTGGAGGCCAAGAAGAATGATATCGATACATTGGAGGCCGAGTGCAAGCGCACGGCAGCCCTCATCGCTGATGGCGCCGAGGCGTGTGTTGAGGCCAAGACCACGGAGCATATGCCTGCAGCAGCTTCTTGGAGCGATGGCAAGTCCGACCCAAACAAGAGGCCCCTCGACGACCTCAGCGAGGAGGAGGCTAAGCTGTTCTTCAACAGTCGAGGTGACTCTGCCGAGTTCACCGGTCAGCCCAAGGAGCTGGGCAAGAAGCAGCGTTGATCCTGATGAGAGGGACCTCTTCTGGAAGCACAACACGGTTGATGATGTGTGGCCCGAGCTTGGGTAGCGCTTGCGATCCGGCCAGACAGGAAGTTCAGTTCGGATGCCCCGCGTTGGAATATGAGTGATGTGGCTGTTAGCGATGCGCTGGATGACGCGGCAGCGGCGAGGCCCGCGGGCCCTCCGAGCGCCGCGAGCTTTTCTTTTTCTATGGGGTTGCCGTCGACGCGAGGGGAGGAGAGCGCGCCGCTGCTGGCGGGGCAGCGCGGGCGGGGGGGCCCGACTGCCACGGGGGTCGGCGCGCTGGCCAGGGGAGGGGGGGGGGGGAGCAGCTCCCTGAGCACCCCACCCCCCCCCCCGCCCCCCGAGGCAGGCGCGGCCGCGCGACCGCCCCATGAGGGGGGCCGCCAGTCACGCTTCGGAGTTGCCGCCAGGGTGGGTTTCATGATATCAGAGCATCGACTGGCGCAGCTGCTGGGCAATCTGCTCTGGGAGTTGCACTTCGGGTTCCTCGCAAGGCTCGCGGAGCTCTGCAGAGCGGGGCTGGCGCGGGACTGGCGCAGACGGGCCAGGCGCGCGCGCGACCGCAAGGGCCCCAGCGCGACTGCAGGGTCGGCCGCGCAGCAGGAGGTCCAAGGCGTGGCAGCTGAGGGGTCCAAGGACCTGACGCAGACGATCGAGATATGGGCTGGCAATGTGACGAGCTGGACTTCAGGGCAGGGCCTGCTGGAGTGGCTGCGTCATGATCGGGAAGCGGAGCGCGGCGATGTGGTTTCGTCAATGCCGCAGTTTGTTCGCTTGCAGGAGCATCGGCAGAAGTTGGCTGGGCAGATTGGAGCAGCGAAGAACTGGCTGCGCAAGAGAGGGCGTCCAGCCTCGCGTCCAGCAGCCTGCGCGCTGCCACGGCATCGGCTTGCCTGCATGCCGTGTAACGTTGGTCTCTCTCTCGGCCCCTCTACGTCACCCCAGTCTACCTCGTCGCTGCGGCCGGCGGCAAAGGGGACATGCATCTCTTGGCGTAGCTGATGCGTCTCCTCGGCGCGCTCGATGGGCCCTGGCTGGCCTTCGGGGACTGGGGCGCGCTGGCAGGTGACCTGGATGGCGGGGTCGCCAGGGCCCACGGCCTGATGCTGAGGACGGGGGAGGCTACGCGCGGAGCTCGAGAGCTTGATTCTGGCGCGCGCAGCTCGCTGCCGGGCTCTTTCGCGGAGAGCGCCAAGGTCCAGGCGCCCCCATCCAAGCGCACGTCGCGCCCAAGGTTGTGCTCAGCGGGCTGGGGGGGGGGGGGCTGCCAGGATCACCGGACTTGACTTCCCTTTAAAGCTTCCGGTTGCAACGCCGTCGCCAGTCAAGCCAGCTCCGCGCGAGGCTTCAGCTCGCGCCTGGTCGTGGACGATCGGCCAGGCCCCCCCCTTGATCTCGGCGAGGCGCGTGCTGAGTGGCTCGAGAAAGCTGAAGACTACCTTGCGGATTTCCACGGTTAAGCTCGGGTCGGGCGAAAGGGGGGGATTGGGAAAGGGGGGGTTACGAAATTTGCTGCATGCAGCTGGTTTCGGCCTCACCGAGGGGCCCAGTCCTCGATGCATGGCCGCCTCCCGGCGCCGGGAGGCGCCGGGAAAATCAGCTACGCGAGCTAATTCTCAAACCCCCCCTTTGCTATCCCCCCCTTTCGCCCGACCCGATAAGCGACTGGAGCCGCAAGTTGTGGCAAGGCCGTTCCAGAGAATTCAGAGCGGTCACGGAGCCTTTCTCGACTCCCTGGGATCGGACTGTCAAGCAGACCACCTCGGTCGAGCACCGAAAGCGGGCCATGTCCCACGCGGCGGCCTTTCGTCTGCAAGCCTTGGCCCTCCGCCAGGAATCGACGAAAGCTACCTCCGGGCGCGCGGGCGCAGGATCCCCTTGCCCCTGCGAAGTCCGAGCCTGAGAGCAGGCTTTGGATGTTGCTCGTTTCCTTTCTTAGCAAGCCAGGGCCCGCGGGCGGAGCGAGGCCCATAATCCTGCATTCGCTGCGGCGCAGAATTCGGCCCCGCACGAGGCAGCCCGACGCTGGGAGGTGGGAGGTCGGGCTTGCCAACTCTTTGGGGGCAACGCTGCCCGCGCGCGTGCCAGGGTCGGGCACGCGCGCAATCTCCTTTCCGGGCCTGCAGAGTTCAAAGGATTCAGCGCGGCCAGTGCTGTCCGCGATTCCAGCAAGTACTATGAGCATGTTAGCCACCCACGAGAAGCCGCGGAGGGTAGCAGCCCAGACAGACTCCCCACTGCGGCTGCCCAAGTGCGTTTGCACTGCCTATCGCCCCCCCAGGAGGGTGATTCGGCAAAAAGCTGACTCTGGAGTGATACATGCTAGCGGGCCATTTGCTGCAGGGTGTAGCGCGGCGCTTGCTCTGGCGAAGCTCTCAGTGCATACGGTCACCCCGATGTTTCAGAGGCAGTTTCTTGCGGTTCGGTTTTAGACTCTCGTTGCCGATTTATGTTTGCAAGCTGTCGGCTGTTTTGAGCGCGTCGTTAGCCGATTCCCAGGTGCTCTTACGGCGCCCGCGCAAGGGCTCGAAGCCAAGAGGAGCCAACAGGGACAAGGCGGGTTACCTAGCCAGTATTTCCGAGCTAGCGCCCAGCCTAAACAACAGGGGGTCTCTGACGGAGGCCAACAGACTGGGCGCAGCTCGCAGTCTTGGGACGGACGCCAACGACGGCACAGCCCGTCGCGTCTCTGAGCAGAACGAGAGGTTCCAGAAGGCAGCGCGCGTCTCTGCCAAAGCGCTGAAGCGGCGCGAGGCCGGGCCCCAGGTCGGCACGATAATGAGGGGTTCTCTGACGGCGACGGCGGCTTAAGGTTCGGATGGCCACGAACATTGTTGACCGAAGGTGTCACGGTTTCCGCATTGCCGCCCTCAAGGCGGAGGGGCGTCTCCCCCAGGGAGCCTCAGTGGGTCTTCGCCTGAGGGCTACGCCGCGCGGGGCCCATCGCGACCCCTTCGTCGTTCACGCGGCCGAGGTGGTGAAACAATGGGCCCCCGCGGCCGTTCCGGACCTCCCTGGACAGGGCCCGATGAAGGCCGTCTGGGAAGAGGGGTGCGCGCAATTGGAGAAGCCCAGGCCCTGGGCCCAGCGCGTCGGTCCCGCGCAGGCGACTCTCTCGGCCCTTCCGCGGGTCGAAGTCTCGACGGCTTCGGTTTTAACGCTGGTAAGGTTTGGTCGTGCCTACTCCATGTTAGAGTACAGGGTTGGATTTTGCTGCGAGCCGGCACGAGAGGCGGCCTCGGCTGCTTCCGAGGCGTTCAGCTCGATGTGAATGCCAGGCGCCTAAACCAGCCAGCTGCACTGGAGCCTTCTCGCGCGACGACTCAAGCAGAGGGCGCGACCTGGACCAAGCACCACAAGGCAGTAATTAGAAGCCTCGTCGGAGGCACATTCTGGACACAAGCTCGGTTGTTTGCGCACGGGAGAAGCGCCGCGGACAGGTGCCTTTTGCGCGGCGAGCGAGGGGCGCTCTATCACAGGTTTACCAGCGCCTTGTCTGCAGCACAACAGGAGAGAAGATTGCCCGACCTCCCTCCAGGAAGCTGCCCGCAAGGTTCACGCTCACAGCGAGGCACATGGGGAGCTTTTCTGTCGCTGCCTTTTCCCGAGTCCGAGGTGGCGTTCCCCGCCCGCCGAGCCTGATGTCAAGGTTTGGCGGGGCAAGGCCCCCCCCCCCCCCCCTGGCGCTTGCCAGGAGAAGTTTTCTGTCGTTGGTTCAGCCTGCCACGCCTTCTTGGCTTGACTCAGTCGGGCAGGCTTTTCGATTGTCCAGATCGATCGAGCGGGCGTTGCCACGGCTGCCGGCTACGGGATCGCGCTTATCGGGACCCAGCAGGCTCGCGATGGGGAGGACGCGGCGTTTGTTCTTCTGGCCACCCACTGCGAGTGGGACCCCGACAACCCACTGCATGTGCATTCAGATTGTACAGCAATTGTCTCCTGTGCCTCTGCCCCTGGAATTGCCCCGTCGGTCACGCAGTCCAGGCAGCACTGCTGGAGGGGCTGTCGGGGGGACGACGGGGTCGGGCACCGCGCGTCTGTCAACAAGGTCAAGATTCACACCTCGCTGAGGCCAATGCGCGTTCAGACTAGGATGTCTGGCGGATCAGAGGCAATGCGGCGGCGGACAGATATGCGAGGCTGGGAGCCAAAGTGCGGGTCGTGCCGCCGCGGCAAGCTCTGTTCATCCAGGGTCTCGAGAGCATGATTTTGTCGGCCACTAGTGGCGCGCGAGGGCCCAGCAAGTGTTCGCGGACGCGGGCATTCTGGATTCGCGCGGCGTTGCTGGGACCTCGGATGTCACTCTCGAGATCGACCCAGAGTTGGGAGGCACTTCGCGAGGTGTGTCTGGAGGCAGGGGCGGGGCCCTTTGAAGATGGCCAAGGGGTTCGGATGCTAGATGCCGCTGCCGTTGCCGACCCCCCCCCTGCTCCGACGCCGAGCGATTGTGCAGTGCAGAGCTCTGGGGCACCCTGGAAATTTAATGGGCGCTCAGTGGTTCAGGCTGAGCTCAGCAGGTCCCAAGAGGGCCCGGAGTCCTGGAAGGGGATACTCTCCTGCTCTGCACGGTCTGCGGAGCCTCCTGTTTCAAGAATGCTAGGAGAGGAGGGGGCCTGGGCGGCCACTGTCAGGGCTCAGCAGCCCCTGGTCTCAAGACCCAGAGGTCTTGGCTCCGTAGAGGGCTCCCCCCTAGGGCTTCCAGGCTTGGGGCTCGGATCGGCGACGCGACGGGCCCGTCCGTGGCGCAGGTCGCCGCCTGGAAGCCGAATCTGCCATCGCTCTCGAGCGGGGCGAACTCTGCGGCCACCGCCGACGCCGGCGGAGAGGTCGGGCCGCAGCGCATGCGCACCGAACCGCCCCCCCCGCTCGTCCTCGCCACGGCCTCGCTCTCCCTCGGACTTTGAGGTTGCGAGGCTACACGGCTTCGATTATCCGTCCGATGTTGTCGTTTTCGCCCAGACGTGCCCCTCTGAGGAGGGCCGGTCCCTTGCTTTGCGCCCCCTGGGCGAGGGGGCTCCTGTCCCCACATTGTCAGAAGCGTCAGAAGCTAATTCGGAGGGGGCTTAAAACGCCCCCAGAGGATTCGCCCGTGTTTTCGGCGAGGCTCCCGGACGAGCGCGTGCCACGCCCACCCCATGGTCGAGGGCTGCCAAGGGGGGGTGAGGACTTGGGGCGTGTGGATCTATATCGTGGCCCACGCGATGATGTCTCCCCAGAGCTCATGGCCCCCGTCTTCTTCTTGCAATTAAGGGGGGCAAACCACCCAGACCTTATAATCGGCATTTACTGAACGGCCCATGGTGTTGACTCAACAGCCCTGCCCTGTTCGATTCCTTTCTCTGGGTGCGTTTACTAAACGGCGTCGCTTGTCGACCTCGGGCCACCAGTTGCTCCCTCTTGCACGCCCCCGAGCTGTTCGCCCCGATCGCCGCCGCCGAGCGAGAGGCGCAGAGGCCGCCCAGGCAGGTGGGCACCGACATGCGGGCCTTCCTGGCGCAGCAGGCCGGCCCCTCGGGGAGGGGGGGGCAGGGACCACAGGGGGGAAGAGGAGGGAATGGAGGGGAGGCGAGGGGACGGGAGAGGAGGGCAAGAGGAGGAGGAAAAAGGAGGAGGAGGAAGGAGGAAGAGGAGAAGGAGGAGGAGGAGGAGGGGGAGGGAGGCAGGGAGGAGGAGGAGGGGGAGGGAGGCAGGGAGAAGGACGAGGAGGAGGAGGAGGAGGAGGAAGGGTTAACCTTGTGCGGGCGAAAAAAATACCCGGGGGATAATGAAGTTCGGGGTCTGGAAAGGATAATCAACGATTTCCCCGGGGAAAGTGACATGATTTGCCTGCTCGAAAAAAACTCTTGAAACATCAAAATCCAGTCGGCGCCAATGGCCTGCCTCACGTTCCTGACTCGGGAAAGGCCGAGAAAAGTAAAATCCTATGACCTTGCCGCACGTTCGTGACTTGGGCAAACTGAATTGGTGAGAGTCCCATAGCCGTGCCACACGCTTGTGATTGCGGAAGCTGATATGGTGAGACCACCATGGCTGTGTTCAGCGTTTTGTTTCGATGTTGCTGCTAGTCAACATGAGACGGTGGCAACTTCGATTCGGAATTTCCCCTGTGGATTATCAAGTTCGGTTTCCGCGCCCCTCTCCATTTAAATCCGATTGAGCGGGGATACAACATAACGGTGAGCCTTACGGGATGGTATGATTTATTATCGCCCGCGCGCGGTTAGGGGTATGGAGGGGAGGGAGGGGATGGCAGGAGGAGGAAGTGGTCCAGACCTCAAGGACCCACGCATCGAAAAAATTGGAGCGTCCCGATGTCTGGGTGGTGTGTTCCAGCTCTCGTTGTGTCGGTTGGGCCTTCGCTTTGAGTTTGCAGCGCGCGCCTCTTCCTCACCTTATTCCCTTCGTCTTGGTATCGGTCGGGCATTTGTATTTTTTCCTCGGCAAGGACGATCGATCAAAAGTTGGCTCATCTTGTGAAAAAGCAAACCGAGAAATGCACGGGGAATGGACACCCGAGCGATGGCAGGATGTCGGTTGGGCCTTCGCTTCGAGTCCGCAGCGCGTGTCTCATCTCCTCCTCGTCCTCGCCCGGAAGTCTCAAGCGAAGCGCCAGGCCCTCCCTATTGGCACGTGTGGAGGTCAGAGAGGGAGGAGTTATCAATGAGGAGAAGGGTTGAGGGAGAGGGGAAGGGATGGAAGGAGTTATCAATGAGGAGAAGGGTTGCGGGAGGAGGGGAAGGGATAGATATTAAAGGAGGAAGGAGCGAGGACACAGGAGGTAGGAGAGCACCTAGAGACCCCCATCAGCCAGTCAAAGCCTTTAAGCCAAAGACAAGATAGCCTCAACGCAGTATTTCCCCTCCTGTTCCCTCCTTCGGAAGAAACTGGAGGAGAAGCAGGCTTGAGCAGGGGTCGGAGGAAGGAGAAGGTGAGGCCCCTTGAATGCAAGACCCGAAAGGACTTCGGAATTCCCAGGATCCCTAAACAAGTCATAGACGTCACCCCAACATCATCCCTCTGCCCCCCCTAGTCGTCTTCCTTCCTCCCCAGAACACCTTCGGAAAGTTCCGAGAGCCTCCGCACATACACAGCCATGACAAACGTTTCAATGTGCCATGAAGGTGAGATCCCTCATCCCTCTAAAGATTTCCAACATGACATGATGATTGCGTCAGTCGGCGGAGTAGTTTCCGAGCCGCCTGATGCTTATAACTCTGTTACCCCCAAGCCAGATCGGGAACAACTCCGCGTCAGACCCTATGAATTATCGAGTTTGATGCGCCCACGCATGGAGTAGTTGGAGCATTGCTACTCCAAACTACTCCGCGCTGATGCGCTATTGGCGAAGGCAGGTTGAACGAAATTGTCGTCACGGTGATGTATGAAGTAAATGTTCGAAACCCAGAGGGAGGGAGGGAAGGGACGGAGTTGGAAGGAAGAGAAGAGGAGGATACGGAGGAAGGAGGAGGCAAGACAACACAGGAGAGCGATCGCGAAGCGATGTGATCAACAACTAGATGCCACCTTCTGAACTTGTCGAAGTAGCCTGCGAATTGGAAGATGACGCACAACACCCCGTCCACGGCGGACAGAATAAGGAAGCCCGAGGAACATCGAAATGATACCACGAATGATTTCCTCCGTGCAGCATGAAGCCCGCTAATCAGACAGCGTGGTGTTGTGCATTCGAGAATGGGTCGCCATGGCCCCATCGCAGCAAGCAAACAATAATGTGTTCACTCTTTCCCTTCCGACCGACCGAACACGAGAAAAGAAACGCACGATATTTTCGCACAGAAGCACCACTGATGAAGAAGCCTGCGCCGCTGACCGCCGCACGCGAGCAGTTACTCAGAATCCGTCGTCATATATGGCCCGCTCTCCTAAACACATTCCGTTGCCCACCACCTTGAAGTACACCAAGGGAGGGGGGAAGGGGAATTGGAGAAAAAGTGTTCCCCGGTAGACTGGTCCAGTCATTGGTGAATTGGTCCACTCCCCCGTTATAAGTTTTGAAGACAGTGAAGCTTTCGAAGCTTTATAACCCTATTTTCAAACGTTCCTTAACAGCTTTTGAGGCGCCCCTGAGCAGTATTTAAGGCGCTGCTTAGCAGCTGTTTAGGCGCTCCTTAGCAGCCGTTTTTTTGGCGCTGCTTAGCAGCCGTTAAGGCGCCCCTTATCAGCTTTACGACGCGCCTTAATAGGTTTGTGGCAGTTGTTAAGGCGCGCCTTCGCAGCTTTTAAGGTGCTCCTCAGCTTAAAGCGCTCCTCAGCAGCTCTTCAGGCGTTCCTTAGCAGCTTTTACGGCGCTTCGCAACAGCATTTATCAAGGCGCTCCTTAGCAGTTTTTCTGTCGCCCCAGTAGCAGTTGTTGAATGCGCTCCTTGGCAATTCTGGCGCCCCATAGCCGCTGTTAAAGCTTTCCTTAGCAACCTGTAGGGTGCGACTTATCAGCTCTTAAGGTGCTCCTCAGCAGCTTGTGAAGCATCCCGTGGCAGTTTTCACGGTCCCAGCAGCTTCGGGCGCTCCGTAGCAGCTCTTTCTGTCGCCCATTAGCAGTTTTCAGAACGTTCAGAAAGTTCCTTCGCAGATTCTACACGGAACGCGACAACGGCGGCGACAACGACGGCCGCGGTGGCGGTGTTGGCAGCGGCGGCCGAGGACGACGACGACGACGACGACGACGACGACGACGACGACGACGATGACGACGACGACGAGCCGCAGGAGGCCGCGCGCCCTGGCGGCGCCGCGCCGGGGCCAGCGAGGCTCGAGGGGTTCAAAGATGGGGCCGTGAAGGATGGGTTTTGGAGGCCTGGAAAGTGGCACCAACACCAGCACAGGGGATTGCCTCCACAGGGGGAAGATGGTCCTAGATGTTCGGTGTTGGTGGTAATAGTTCGGCCACCTTGGAAGCCAGAATATTACTAGCCGGCCGCTCTGCGGTTGATCGGGAGTTTCTGTATATAGAAGAAGGTGCGTGCGCTTGTTGGCGAGGGTGAGGATGAGGTTCCTCCTCCTCCTCCTCCTCCTCCTCCTCCTCCTCCTCCTCCATCCTTCTCTTGCCTCCGTCTGTCCTCCTCCACCCCGCAGCTCCATCATCTTCTCCTCCTCCTCCTCCTCCTCCTCCTCCTCCTCCTCCTCCTCCTCCTCCTCCTCCTCCTCCTCCTCCTCCTCCTCCTCCTCCTCTTCCTCCTCATTCCTCCTCTGGGCACCTCCCCCGGGGCGCGGATCCACCGGACCGGATCTGTCCGGAAACGGTGCCGGAGGCCGCTCTGGGCTCCTCTGGGCACCTCCCCCGGGGCCGGTTTTGTGAGGATGTCTCAAGCGAGGGCGCCGGTTTGGGATCCACCGGATCCACCGGATCTGTCCGGAAACGGTGCCGGAGGCCGCTCTGGGCTCCATGGGCACCTCCCCCGGGGCCGGTTTGGGATTCGTCCGGATCCACCAGATCCACCGGATCTGTCCGGAAACGGTGCCGGAGGCCGCTCTGGGCTCCTCTGGGCACCTCCCCCGGGGCCGGTTTTGTGAGGATGTCTCAAGCGAGGGCGCCGGTTTGGGATTCGTCGGCGGATCCACCGGATCCAGCGGATCTGTCCGGAAACGGTGCCGGAGGCCGCTCTGGGCTCCTCTGGGCACCTCCCCCGGGGCCGGTTTTGTGAGGATGTCTCAAGCGAGGGCGCCGGTTTGGGATTCGTCGCGGATCCACCGGATCTGTCCGGAAACGGTGCCGGAGGCCGCTCTGGGCTCCTCTGGGCACCTCCCCCGGGGCCGGTTTTGTGAGGATGTCTCAAGCGAGGGCGCCGGTTTGGGATTCGTCACCGGATCCACCGGATCTGTCCGGAAACGGTGCCGGAGGCCGCTCTGGGCTCCTCTGGGCACCTCCCCCGGGGCCGGTTTTGTGAGGATGTCTCAAGCGAGGGCGCCGGTTTGGGATTCGTCACCGGATCCACCGGATCTGTCCGGAAACGGTGCCGGAGGCCGCTCTGGGCTCCTCTGGGCACCTCCCCCGGGGCCGGTTTTGTGAGGATGTCTCAAGCGAGGGCGCCGGTTTGGGATTCGTCGGCGGATCCACCGGATCCAGCGGATCTGTCCGGAAACGGTGCCGGAGGCCGCTCTGGGCTCCTCTGGGCACCTCCCCCGGGGCCGGTTTTGTGAGGATGTCTCAAGCGAGGGCGCCGGTTTGGGATTCGTCACCGGATCCACCGGATCTGTCCGGAAACGGTGCCGGAGGCCGCTCTGGGCTCCTCTGGGCACCTCCCCCGGGGCCGGTTTTGTGAGGATGTCTCAAGCGAGGGCGCCGGTTTGGGATTCGTCGCGGATCCACCGGATCTGTCCGGAAACGGTGCCGGAGGCCGCTCTGGGCTCCTCTGGGCACCTCCCCCGGGGCCGGTTTTGTGAGGATGTCTCAAGCGAGGGCGCCGGTTTGGGATTCGTTCGGATCCACCGGCGGCGGATCTGTCCGGAAACGGTGCCGGAGGCCGCTCTGGGCTCCTCTGGGCACCTCCCCCGGGGCCGGTTTTGTGAGGATGTCTCAAGCGAGGGCGCCGGTTTGGGATTCGTGATCTGTCCAAAACGCTCCTTGGGCGGTTCGGGGCTCCCTCCGGGGGGTAGGTTTTTGCGCGAGGGCGCCGGTTTGGGATTCGTCACCGGATCCAGCGGATCCGTCCGGAAACGGTGCCGGAGGCCGCTCTGGGCTCCTCTGGGCACCTCCCCCGGGGCCGGTTTTGCGAGGATGTCTCAAGCGAGGGCGCCGGTTTGGGATTCGTCACCGGATCCAGCGGATCCGTCCGGAAACGGTGCCGGAGGCCGCTTTGGGCTCGTGCTCTTCGCGCCGGGGGTGAGGATGACGTGAGTTCCACAGAAACTCCCTCAAACCACCACCACCGAGATCGGGATCTTCTTCCCTCGGTGGAGGCACACCGCCGAAGTTGGTGTTGGTGTCAATCTCTAGGCCTGCGAGGTCGGAGGACAAACAATGACAGAAACAAAAATTGTACCGTTTTTCTCATTCATTGTTTTGCCCATCGGCGCAGGTCCTCGCACCCCCCAACCCCTCCCCCCCCCCAACGGAGTGGATCTTGGCTGTTTTTGGCGCCTGTGTCAAGCAGGTGGAGCCCCCCAATAGGACGCACTGCTGCAAACAGTCGCATCAAACAGAGTTCCGAAGGCAGATCCCCCCCTCCCCCCCCTGCCGCCCAATGTCGACACGCCGAAAAGCGAAACGCTCACAAGTGTTCGGGGGTCCGCGCGGATGTTCCGGATCTGCGCTGGAACCCCTGGAGGTGCCTCAGGCGCCGCCTTCCCTGGCTCGCTCTGCGTGCCCAGGAGGGGCCCGGCGCCTTGCCAAGGAATCCGCGCGGACCTCCGACGTGTGATGCTTATGCCATTGCCTGTTCGGTCGGGAACTCAAGGGCTCCCTCGAGGGCGCGAAGTTATTCGCGCTTCGCGGTCCTCGTTCCTTCTCCCCCTCCTCCTCCTCGTCCTCCTATTCTCCCTTTGGGAGGGCGGCGCGAGAGCGCGAAGTTATTCGCGCTTCGCGCAGCGCGAAGCGCGAAGTTGGGAGCCCTAGCTGTTCGGTCGGGAACTCTTGCGCGGCGTGTCGCGGCGCAGGTTCTGGCCAGCCATGCCTCACCGCGACACGCCGACCACGTCCCAGGTCACCGAGCGGCAGCGTCCCGAGCTTTTCCCGGCCTGCCGCTCCGCGAGGCGCTCTTGTATGTGTCACGCTTGCTTTCACACTGCGGATGCGTATTCGTGATTGTTGCACACTGGTTTCACACTCAGGATATGCGTTCCTGTGTTTCGCATGTGTTTCACATGTAGGATGCGCATTGGTATGTTGTTCGTCCCTGATCCGTACGTACTTCGTATGTCCCGTAATGTTCAACGTACTTTTCCCATTCGCAGTTCCGATTCGTATGTATGTCACATTCGCAGGTTCGAGTCGCATTTGATTCACATTCGTACGTCCGATTCGTTTTTTAATCGAACTCGAACCCCTGCTTTCCAGCTGAATCGAAGGAATCACCAGTCTGCACATCGCGGGAAGCTATAAGTCTATGTTTGTGAATATAGAGTTGTATACATATTTGCTTTGCCGTCTATCTCTGTGCATCTTGCTCTGGCGTGCCTGGTGTTCTCTGCGAGTTAGGATGAGAGGGCGCCGTTGCGACCGTTGTTGCATCAATGCTCAAGCTTTTGTGGCGTCCAGATGCCTGGACTCCGCAACGGGTTTTGGCTCGTGGGCGCCGTCACTCAGCTCCTCACGGCATACTGGTGGCGGACGCAGCCTTGTCCTACGTGCCCTGACTGCCCATCGTGCCCCACCTTGCACTGTCCCAGCTGCCCGCATCTGCAGTGTCCGACGGGCCTGAATCCCTTGCAGGCCGGCGGGACCGCCGGCGGAGGTCAGAGCTCAACACCTCCTGTGCCGCCGCCTGCGGCGGAGGCTGCTGCTGCTTCTGGGCCCTCTGGCGCCGCTGTTCCGGGTGAGGATCCAACGTCAGGACCGACCGAGGCCTCTTCGGAGTCGGGCGGCTGGCTGGGCGAGCTCGTGGCCCTGTGGCTTCACGCGCTGATCGCTTTGGTGCAGGCGGTGGTGTTCTTGGGATATTCGTGCCTGAAGAACGTGTGCTCTTGGCGACTACCAGGCCGCCGATCTCCTGCCGCCATCGACAATGGTCGCCCGGCTGGGGTACGTCCGCCCTTGGGCGTGGGTGCTATTCGCCGGCGAGCGGCGGTGGCATCAGCGTCGGATCTGGGGGCAAGCAGAGGATCCGCCAACTGGATCTCAGACTCGTCTGCTGCTGAGCAGCAGCGCGCCTGATCACAATGTCTACGAAGAAGACTATAGCAGGGACAGCGCTGACATTCTGGGCGTTCGCTTCGTGGACACTCATCGTGACCGCGGAGGTCTGGATGCGGGGTTGCTATACGGGTTCAGGCGACGCTTGACTGTGAATGGGGAGTCCGCAATCATGGGGGGGTGATTCAGGTGGCCGACGAGACTTACTGGGGTTGGGAGACCGCTGGAGGCCGCGCTGCTGTGCTTCTTGCTGGGGGCGCGCTGCGGGCTTTCGACTTCGGGCTGCGCGGCGTGGGAGCTGGGCCGCAACTGGTCGGTGCCGACGATGGCGTTGCTGGAGGCAACGCTGGAGGTACGGAGACGACCGCCGCGGGAGATCGCGGAACGGTTGTGGCCCTGAATGTGACGGAGCGACTCGGTGGCGACGTCGGGATCATGAGGACCGACAAGGACTGGATCGGAATCCGACGGGTGTCGGTCAGCCTGGCGCTCTACGCTGGCGCTGAGGCTGGACTTGACGCCAGGCTCCTTGGCATCGCACTTCAGTCAGATGGCCATCGCACTCGTATCCAGTTTCGGGACGCTGTCGCCAAGTTCGAGCAGACGCCGCTTCCAGGATGGCCGTTGGAGGGCCCCCGTTCGGCGGCGTGGTGCTTCATCTTCATCGACCGACGTTGCAGAGGCCCGCTGGAGCACTTCACGCAGTTCAGGAACCAGCCTCACTTGACGAACGATGACTACGGCGTGGCCCACTACGAGAGCACCATGAGGATGATCGAGTTCTTAGGCCGCTGGGATCAGGTGAATCTTCCAGACCTCGCAGGCGTCGGGGTGGCCATGCGACAGGCACAGCTCTACGAGTACGTGTACGCGATGGAGGCGGAGGGTCCACTACACGCGGCCCTGCAGGCATCGGAGGACAAGAACCAGAAGGGACGCGGTCGTGGCCGCGGCTTCGCC